CTATATTTTCTTCCATCTCTTCATCTCCTCATATTCCCTCAATTCGTACTGCTGATGGTTCTCTCATGTCTGTCCGTCATGTTGGTACTGTTTCCACATCTTTTTTATCTTTATCTCAAGTTTATCATATCTCTGTTCTCACCTTAAACCTTATTTCTATTGGTCAATTATGTGAACTTGGTCTAACTGTCACATTTTCTACTACTGATTGTTTGGTGTAGGACCCTCAGACGGGGCAGACTATTGAGATCGGCCGTAAGCACGGACGTCTCTATGAACTTATCCACCTTCATGCTCCTGACTCTCCTCAAATCGCTGCTCCTGCATCTGCTTCCTCATTATCTCCTTTTCATCTTTGGCATTGTCGCTTAGGGCATATTTCTGTTAATCGCTTAAAGTCTTTGGTTTCTAGTGGACAATTGGGTCATGTAATTCCAGATAAATTTGATTATATACCTTGTCAGCTTGCCAAACAACCTGCTTTATCATTCAATAAAAGTACTTCTGTTTTCCATGAACCTTTTGATCTTATACATTCGGATATTTGGGGACCCTCCCCTACTACTACTATGGGGGGATCTCGTTATTTTGTCGTTTTTATTGATGATTTTTCCCGGTTTACTTGGCTTTTTCTCATGAAAACTCGATCTGAACTTAAACACCTTTATTATAGATTTGCCCAAATGGTTCACACCCATTTTTCCAAAACCATCAAAATTTTTTGCTATGACAATGCTATGGAATATCGGGATTCGGATTTTCTTTCTTTTCTTCAGAGTCATGGTACACTACCTCATCGTTCCTGTGCTGGCACGTCTCAACAAAATGGCCGTGCTGAACGGAAACATAGGCATATTCTTGACACTACTCGCGTTCCTTTCTCTCTTCTTCCTGTCCTGAAAACTTTTAGGGGGAAGCTGTCCTCATTGCTGTCTACGGTATCAATTATGCTCCTGCCCCTGTCATCCACAATCAAACTCTCTTTGAACGTTTGCATGGCACTCTCCCTCCATACACCAATCTTCGGGTCTTTGGCTCTGCCTACTTTGTTCTGCTTCAATCCCATGAACACACTAAGCTTGAACCTCGTTCTCGTCTTTGTTGCTTTCTTGGGTATGGAATTGAACATAAAGGCTTTCGCTGTTGGGATCCTCTGTCTAAACCTCTTCGTATCTCCCGACATGTCGTTTTTTGGGAGCACAAAATGTTTTCCTCCCTATCCTCTTTTCACATACCCGCACTTGCCACTAATGTACTGTTTACTAATCCTTCCATAGATCTCTTCTCTGATGCTTTTAATACAGGTTCCTCCTTCATCGAGACGCCCTTGTTCACTCCTGATCCCGTTTAGTCTGCTCTTCCTGAAGGTCCACCTCTCATTGCACCACCTCCTTTTCCACCGGTTCTTCCTCCCACCGATCCTCCTACGGGTCGACCATGCCGGGTAACTCAACCTCATATCCATCTTCGTGATTATATTGTTGGGTCTACTGCCTTCTCTACTTATGAACCTACCTCCTAGCGTGAGGCTTGTACTAATCCTCTTTGGCAGCAAGCTATGACTGATGAACTCCAGGCCTTGGACAAAACTCATACTTGGGATCTTGTTGATCTTCCTCCTGGCAAGACTGCGATTGGCTGCAAATGGGTTTACAAAATCAAGACTCATTGTGATGGCTCTATTGAACGCTACAAAGCTTGTCTTGTTACCAAGGGTTTCAACCAGGAATATGGTATTGATTATGAGGAGACATTCTCCCCTGTTGCTCGGCTTACCTCTGTTCACAGTTTACTTGCTGTTGTTGCTGTTCGCCACTGGGAACTCTTTCAGATGGATGTCAAAAATGCTTTCCTCTATGGTAATCTTCTTGAGGAGGTCTACATGCAACCTCCCCCTGGGTCCACTTTTCCCCCTCATAAGGTTTGCAAACTACAGCGTGCCCTCTATGGCGTCAAGCAAGCACCCCGTGCCTGGTTTGCTAAGTTCAGTTCTACCATTCATGACTTCGGGTTCACCTCTAGCTCCTATGACTCTGCTCTTTTTATACGGACTACTACTCATGGTACCACTCTTCTCCTTTTGTATATGGATGATATGATTATCATTGGTAATGATGCAGCTGGTATTCTCCACCTCAAACGTTTTCTCCACCGACAGTTTGAGATGAAAGACCTTGGTACTCTTAACTACTTCTTAGGCCTTGAAGTCTCTCATGATTCTACTGGTTCCTATTTGTCCCAGGCCAAATATGCATCCGATCTTCTGGCTCGTGCTGGTCTTACTGATTGCAAAACTACCTCTACTCCAGTTGATCCTCAGATTCGTCTCACTCCTCTCGATGGGGATCTCCTCTCTGATGCTACTCTTTATCGCCAGCTCGTCGGAAGTCTTGTCTATCTCACAGTGACTCGTCCTGACATTGCCTATGCTGTTCACATTGTCAGTCAATACATGTCGGCTCCTCACACTCCTCACTATACTGCTCTACTCTGCATCCTTCGCTACCTCAAAGGCACTCTGTTCCATGGTCTTCACTACTCTGCTTCCTCCTCTCTTGAACTGCGTGCCTTTTCTGATGCTGATTGGGCTGGGGATCCTACGGATCGACGCTCTACCACGGGATTCTGTTTCTTCTTAGGGGATTCTCTTCTTACTTGGCGTAGCAAAAAACAATCCCTCACTGCCTGCTCTAGTACCGAAGCTGAATACCGGGCTCTTGCTGACACTACTCAGGAACTTCTCTGGCTTCACTGGCTCCTTGCTGATATGGGTGTTTCTTCTTCTGGTCCTACCTCTCTCTATTGTGACAATCAGAGTGCCATTCAGATTGCTCACAATGATGTTTTTCATGACCGCACCAAACATATTGAGATTGATTGTCATTTCATTCGCCAGCATGTTGCCTGTGGTACTGTTCATCTTCTTCCTATTGCTTCTGCCGATCAGCCTGTTGATATTTTCACCAAGGCTCATCCTCCTGGGCGCTTCAGTGATCTTGTTTCCAAATTCAAGTTGGTTGATGCTTTCCCTCCTTGTGTTTGCGGAGAGATGTTAGTGTATTGTATAGCTGTTAGCATGTTAGCATTAGTTTATGTAAAGTAATATAAAGTGTTAGTGTATTGTATAGCTGTTAGCATGTTAGCATTAGTTTATGTAAAGTAATATAAAGTACGCTCTTCTTTTGCTTTTCCTTTCTACTTTCGGTGTCTCACTTTGGCATCCAATGCGTCCTCTCTTCTCTATAAAGAGAGTGCATATCTCTTTGTAAATGACACAACACAGATCAATATAAGAGTTAATCATTTTCTCTCTCTCTCTTTATCAAACTATTGTTTCAACCCTTGCTTTCCATTCCCTTTCTCCTACTGCAGCCAGAGCTCCACTTTCGTAACCATCAATGATACCAATCAACAATCCAATCATTAGACGAAGCACCTAGTCTCGGAGTTTAAAAATCCAGTGGTGCAACTGGACTGTGTTGTGTGACCTTTAAGAAGGTGGCACATGTAATCGCAGTCCATGGTAGCGATCTCCAGATGGAGCTACCCGAGATGTTCCGCAAACTCTATTCACTTCCCAAATACTTCATAAATTTGATTTTGCTATTCGGAGTTTGGAGATTTTTGGTTGATATATAAATGTATTTATAGCCATGGTCATTTGTTTCTATTCAATTATCAAAGAGAGTGAGTGCTGAATTTTGGGCCATTTCTTCATGTATTGACATTTGGTTTTGCTGCTCTGTTAGCTGCTCTGCCTCTTCTTCTTTTTTCTTTTTCTTTTTCTTTTTCTTTCTTTCTTTTTTTTTTTTTTTTTCCAGTTTCTTTCTCTGGTTAGCTTCTTACCAACCCATTATGAAGCACGGGCACAGGTACGGAAATGAATATGAGTACTGATATTGATACGATACGGATAAGTTGATACGAAAAAATTTTAAAAAAATAAGATACAGATACACCTTTGTACGCTTATAAAAAAATATTTATTTTTAATTTAAAATAATACAAAAATTAATTATATGGTTTAATTTGTTAAGGTCCAACCTACACTTACATTTAATGTCAAAAGTAAAAGTATAAATCAAAATTAAATGTCAATATATTAAATAACTTATAAACCATAGTTTAATTTTAAAATCATACTAAGCACAAAACAAAAAAATAAAAAAGAAATCTAGTGAAAAAAGTTTTATCTCCGTAGTAGAAGAAAATATTATTGCAACTGAGATACGGTACGGCTTGGGTATACACTAGGTACGTTTGGATACGACAAAAATTAAGAAAAAAAATGTTGGGTACGTGTTTCTGTACCCGGTACGTATGCAAAAGTACCATACGAGATACCATATGTCGGTAAGTACCCGACACGAATACAACATATTTTTCGAAGTACCCATACTTCATAACCCATTTTCCTTTTTCCTTTTTCCGGAGGTAATCTTGTTCCTTGATCCCTCCTTCACTTTATTGATGTAATCCATATGTTGGCATTCATTAATAAAGTTTTTTTCCCCATTAAAAAAATAAATGTTTTTATTGAGTTTGGGGGCCGTTGAGGAATTTGTAGTTAGAGGTGGAGTAGACAATGGTGGTGTTATGGTGGTGGAGGAGACAATGCTAGTGTTGAGGCGGTTGCAGGGTGGGATTAGGTAGTGGAAGTAATTGTCATGGTGGCTGCTTGACAAAGAAGAGGGAGAAATAAGTAGATGGGTAGATTTGCCAAAATTGTCTCTCTTTGGTTTGGACTAGTTAACGGATTAAGATAAATGGTTGAGATTGTCATCAACTTAAAATTTTGAGGTTTATTTTGAAGAACTAAATAAATTAAAAATTCAGAATTTATTTTTATTACAAAGATCAAACACTATGGTTTATTTTGTAATTGGTTCCCCAATTTTTTCTTAAGTTGGGTGCTTCTGAATTTATATTTACTTTTGTTTCGGAAAGCAAGAAAACAATTTCTGAAAACAATCCAAATTAGTGTCACAGCACAAATCTCAGAACAGAGGAAAAAGAAGAGTTATTCATTTTATTTTGTTTTAGTTTTGATTCCACTCAAGCAAAGTAGATTAAACTAATCAAGTCAAGCACATCCACTCTAGAAAATAAAATACATAGGAAGAAAACAATCTCAAAGTACAAAAACAAATCCAAACAACCCAGTCTCTAAACTCTATACGCCAAATCAGTAAACTTTGCTCTTACTCTGTCCTTGTTGTTGGGCCTTGCAAGCTCCACATATCTTGTTCCAACACCGAACCACTATGAGACAAGGTATGACAAACCAAGCAGCATTCGCAATGACAAAGTAAGCATAATAGTAATACAAACTCTCTGCAAACTTATCTCCATCCAAGTAAGAAGTCAAATAATACACAACAAGCCCATAGAGATGAGCCATTGAAATCACCAATTGAAGTATGTAGCTGTATGACTTTCTTGTGGCAATAGCATACAAAGCAAGAAGACAAGCTGGACCCACCAAAGAAACAGTGATTATTTCAATGGAAACAACATTAGATTCTCTCAATGCATACCTTGAATCACCTTTGGAGTACTCTTTCCAAACCTCTGCTATGAAAAAACCAGTCTTGTCTTTGTAAAATTGTGGTGAGAAAACAAAGTAGCCTTCGAAGATTATGTGGGTGAGGCCTGTGAAAATGAACCAGCACATGAGGAGGCGATCGGTTGTTGATAGTTTTGGTAAACGGAGAGAGAGAAGCCAAAGGAGAGAGACGATGAGGAGAGAGGAGAGGCCATAGATGCCAAGAATGGTTGATTGTGAAAGAGAGCTGGGGATGAAGCCTGACGGTAGATCTATGGCTCCCTCCATGGTTGATTTGGGGAGAGAGAGAGAGAGAGAGAGAGAAGTCAAGGGTATGACTGTCTGGTTATTAGATGGGATGATATACTAATCTTTGATATATATTGCTAATCTTGGATTAAAATTAATTTACAGAAACAGTGGTGATAGCTTAAGTTTCGCCATACATCAAAATTAAAAAAAGATTACAAAATACTAAAATTTCATAAATTTTATCCCAAATTACATCTAAAAACTTTAATTTGTTATTCAAATTTATTTCATACTTAGATCTTTTTTAAAAGATAAAAAAAAAAATTATTTATTAATATATTAATTTATTTAAATCACATTACATCTCTATTTTTTTATTTTTTTTCTTATAATAAGTTAATAACCCCCCAAAAAAATACATTTCCCAAAATATGGCCAAGTTTGGCATCTTTCAAAAAATTTAAAAAGTCAAAAAGTCATTATCCTATTTAAGTCACATCATCTTATTTAAGCCATATCACCTCTCTAACACATCACTTCAAATCTAACCCAAATCAACTCATATTTCATAAAAAATTAAAAAATAGACTTATTTAATATTCCCAAACATAACCTAAGCCTTAGACTCGCTCTGTATCATTTCAGTTGTCACAGCACAAATATCATAGTCATCTAGAGTGTTTTTTATTTATTATTTTTTTTGATAGGAACTGATCAGCTGAAGTGTCTTCTGATCTAATGTAAAGTGAGGTCACAAACCGCGTGTAGCCAGCGTATGAATTTGACATCTCTAGCAAAACAAATTTGAATTTAAGAATAACTATGAACATAAGCTGATTTCTGACTTATAAATTAAGCATCTCCTGCCCCACTCAAAGAATAAGCTGATTTCTGATTTCCAAAAAACTATAAGTTATAAGCTATAAGCTAAACCAAACACATCAAAATAGCTTAAATTAAGCTGAAAGCTGAAATAAGTTGCTTTTAAGTTCTGCCAAACAAGCTCATATATTGGTAATCTTGGATTAAAATTAATTTACAGAAACAGTGGTGATAGCTTAAGTTTCGCCATACATCAAAATAAAAAAAAGATTACAAAATACTACAATTTCATAAATTTTATCCCAAATTACATCTAGAAACTTTAATTTGTTATTCAAATTTATTTCATACGTAGGCTTTTTTTGAAAGATAAAAAAAAAAATTAATTTATTAATATATTAATTTATTTAAATCACATTACCTCTCTATTTTTTTATATATTTTTTTTCTTCTAATAAGTTAATACCCCCCTCCCAAAAAATGCATTCCCCAAAAAAGCCTTAGATTCACTCTATATCATTTCAGTCTTCACAGCACAAATATCATAGTCATCTAGAGTGTTTTTTATTTTTTATTTTTTTTATTTTTATTTTTTTTGATAGGAACTGGTCAGCTGAAGTTAGTCTTCTGATCTAATGTAAAGTGAGGTCACAAACCGCGTGTAGCCAGCGTATGAATTTGACATCTCTAGCAAAACAAATTTGAATTTAAGAAAAATTTATAATAATAACAATAAAGAAAAAAGTTCCATAATGCTATCTCCAAAAAGTTGCATCAAATATTTTATCAAATTTAAATTTAATAAAAAAATTGATAAAAATTATTCTTCAATTGTTTCATCAGACTAATATGAAATGAAGAAAACGGTATATTTTTTATCAAATCAATTAAGTGTTTTACCTTTTATTAAATTTTGCAAGTCACTGTTGGTAGACAACCAAGTTTTGGAATGAATTTGATAAAATTTTACTTTTTACCAGACGACGGGCAAAATTGATGAAAACTAATGGATTGCATCATATCAGATTAACCTTTTCATCAAATTTTTATTCAATTTTGATAAAAAATGTAATGAAGCATACAAATCAAAAAAAAAAAAAAATCTATTTAAATTTTCAACTTTTAAAAATTTCAATTTTAACTATATGGTTAGTTTAGTTAAGGACAGTTTGGTTTATTCACTCCTTTTCTTCTTCTTTATCCACGTTCCTCCTTTACTTATAATTAGGTGACAAACGAATTGGGCTGTTTTCTTCTTCTTTATCCACGTTCCTCCTTTACTTATAATTAGGTGACAAACGAATTGGGCTGTGAAAAAAGCTTGTCTCGTTTAAAAGTCATTTATGCTTGACTCGTTTACTAAATAAACAAGTTCGATTTTTAAGCTTATTTATTAATTGAGCCGAGTTTAGATAATCCTAAGTTCGATTCGATAAGGCTCGTTAATATGTGAAAAAATTAATATTTATTTTTAATAAAGTATCAAATAAAATTTTATTAACATATTTTATTTTTTTATTTATGTTTGGTATTTGTGTAAATTTATATACTTAATTGATGAAATTTATTATTAATATAAGTATTTTTGTATATTTTGCTTATAATCTTCTTTTTTTATCTTAATAAATAAATTAATTTTAATTTAATTCTTTTCAAACTCGAGCTTGGCTTATTTATGTAATCGAGTTGGCGAGCCAAGTTCGAGTTTCTTAAATATTTAACAAGTCGAACTCGAGCTTGATTAGTTAAGCTTGACTTGAGCTCCGCTCAAACTCAAACTCAACTAACTCTTAATAAACAAGTCTGAACACTCAAAAGTTCGATTCAGCTCGGCTAGTTCACAACCCTACTTATAGTCTACTTATATAAATAAATAAAATAATCAATCTAAATGTACAAAACCCAAACATAGAACAGATATATGTCACAAGAGATGTGACTCACATGTAGGATACACATTTTAGAGCATCTCCAAGGGACTCTTTAAATGAAGTATGCTAGTTATTATAGTTAGTATTATCATATTTTAGTCACTCCAACAAGCTAATTATTACAATAGCTATTTTAACCAAATTCTTCAAGGCTAGCTATATTTGAAGAGTCTTCAGAGGCTCTTTAAATAGTTTGTGTACAAAAATAAAAATAAAAAGTAAAATAAAGAGCAGCGTTGGAGTACCTAGATAAATAAATTTAAAAAAGTAAAAAAGAAGTAATAGCTTCCCTCAAGTTGGCCATCTCAACTTGAGATAGCATTTGAGCTTAGTAGGCTCATTTTGGACCGATTTCAGTAATCCGAACCATTCATTTTGTAGGAATCGTTGAGTAGAATATTTATGTAAAAAAATAAGATGATTGAATATCAATAGCTATATGTCTTAATCAAATTTATATTACAAAAAATGGACGGTTATTTTGGAAATTATTTTTGTCGTCTATTTTCTTGAAAGAAAAATGATTCAAACATATAGTTACTAATATTCAATGATCTTAATTTTTTGTATGAATATTCTACTCAACGAATTCTAAAAATTGAACAGTTAAGATTACCGAAATCGGTCCCAAAATAGGCTTATTCAGCGCAAACACTCTCTTAAGTTGATATGACAATTTAAGAGAAGTCAAACCCAAAAAGAATTAGGTAAAATAAAGAATTACTTTTTTATATTTAATTCGTGAAAAATAAAGAATATGATTGAAGTGACTCTTACCAGACCTTTATATTTGTATTTGATTTTTGTATTTCTAAGGCCTCGTTTGAAGACTAAGCATTTTATCCCAAAAGTTAAAAAGTCATTATAAATTGCCATATCACCCTCTCTACTTTTCTATAAATCTTTTCATAAAAAATTAAAAAAATATTAAAATAACATATTTCCAAACGAGGTCTAAGACTGCTTTATAAGTAAAAATATATCTTGCATGTACCCTTATAGTCACACTTGAGAATGTCAGAGCCTTAGAGCCTTTCCCTCCCCTCCACTGCCTGGACTGAGGGAGCCCTGTTGTGAGTTATTTTGAAAGCTTTTTTTAAGTTTGTTTTGATAATTTGAATTGTTTATATTATAAGATTTGTGGAGTATATTAACTACAAAAAAATAAAGTTAATTGAAAATTTGTAATGCCATGATCAAGTACTAATTGTTTTAAAAAAAATTATCAAAATTATGTTAACTGTTTATTTTTAAGCAAACTAAATTTGTACTTATTATGAGGTTATAGATGTCTAATCAATTTTATTTTTTACGTGGATAATTTACTCAATAAATTTTATAACATAAACTATTGGAATTGTGTATTTGTATTATTGAATTGAATGAATGAATACAATAGGAGAAGCCTATATATATAGGTTGAAAAGAAACCTAGGTAAGTGTAGAAGAAGATAGAGATACAAGAAGACAGAGATAAAGATACAAATAGATAAGTATAATATAATAATATACATTAACAGCCCCCTTCAAACTCAAGGTGGGTAAGCATCAACTAACTTGAGTTTACCCACCTTGAGTTTGGAAACTAGATCACTAAAACAACTAGGAAGATGAGTCTTGGTGAAGATGTCGGCTATCTGATTGGCAAAGATAACAAAGATAAGACAAACAGTGCCACTAGTAACATACCGTCGTATGAAGTGACAATCAATCTTAATATGCTTTGTACGATCATGGAAGACATCATTATGGGCAATCTAAATAGCACTCTGATTATCACAATAGAGGTTAATCGCAGTAGAATGAGAAACCCCCATATCAGAAAGAAGCTAGCTTAGCCACACAAGCTCCTGAGTAGTGTCAGCAAGAGCACGATACTCAGCCTCAATACTAGAACGCGCAACAAGAGTTTGCTTCTTGCTATGTTAGGCAATAAGAGAGTCACCCAAGAAGAAACAAAATCCTATAGTAGAACGATGATCAGTAGGGTTCCCTTCCCAATTAGCATCACAAATGCATGTAACTGTAGGGAAGAGTGAGCGGAGTAATGAAGACCATGAAACATAATGCCTTTGAGATAGCATAAAATGCGAACTAGAGCATCATAGTATGAAGAACGAGGAGCAGCCATGAACTGACTAACAATGTGAACAGCATAAGCAATGTCTGGACAAGTAACTATGAGATAGACAAGACTGCCAACTAGTTGACGATATAAAGTAGCATCAGACAACAGGTAACTGTCAAGAGGTGTGAGACGAGTCTGAAGATCAACAGGAGTAGAGACTATCTTGCAATCGGTAAGACCAGCACGAGCCAAAAGATCAGAAGTATACTTGGCTTGGGAGAGAAAGTAACCAGACGAATCATGAGAGATTTCCAAGCCGAGAAAATAGCTGAGAAGACCCAAATCCTTCATCTCAAACTAGCGACTGAGAAACTATTTGAGACTAGAGATACCCACTATGTCATCTCCAGTGATGATCATATCATCTACATAGAGAAGAAGAATAATAATACCAGGCTCTGTCTTATGAATAAAAATAGCAGAATCATAGGCACTGGAAGAGAATCCAAAATCATGAATGGTGGAGCTAAACTTGGTGAACCAGGCACGAGAAGCTTGTTTCAAACCATATAAAGCACGGCGAAGCTTACAGACTTTGGATGGTGGAACAGATGAACTAGGTGGAGGTTGCATATAAACTTCCTCAGTGAGATCGCCACTGAGAAATACATTCTTGACGTCCATCTGACAAAGTTTCCAGTGGCAAGCAGCAGCAATGGCAAATAAGCTACAAACAGAAGTCAGACGGGAAACAGGAGCAAAGGTTTCTTCATAGTCAATCCCATATTCTTGAGTAAACCCCCGGGCAACAAGACGAGCTTTGTAACGCTCAATAGAACCATCAGAATGAGTCTTGAGCTTGTAAACCCATTTGCAACTTACAACACTTTTGCTAAGAGGAAGATCAACCACATCCCAAGTATGAGTTTTATCAAAAGCTTATACTTCATCAGTCATAGCTTGCTACCAAAGAGGGTTAGAACAATCATTTCCATAAAAAGTAGGTTCATGAGAGGAAAATGCAGCAGAGCCAACAATAAAATCACGAAGAATGACAAAAAGTTGTGTTACTTGAGTAGAATGACGAAGAAGTACCTCAGAAGCCGGGCCAGGAGGCGGAGTAGGAGCCTCAGGATAGGCCGGAGACAGCATGGCAGGACTAGGAGTAGGATTAGGGAGTGAAGCATCAGCAGGACCAAGAGATGGAGTAGGTTCCTTAGGATGCGATCAAAAGGTGCATGAGACATAGAAGTACTGGATGGAAATAGTAAAGAAGATTGTTTTGCTAGTTGACAAGATAGACAATCTATTTTATCATTTGGAATAGGACCTAACTGACCGCACGAAACTAGAGATTGTAAACGACCAAACAAAATATGACCTAACCAAGAATGCCATAAGGCAAGAGGAGAACTAGAAGTAGTAGGAGCAGCAATCCGAACAGTAGAAGGACTGGAGGAGGGAATGTAACGCCCTCAAAATATGATACCAATAAGCCATTCATAAGATCTATAAACATAATGAAAATGTTCTACTATCATTCATCAGATTTTATATTACAAAAGGTATTACATGCATTACACTTTTATAAATGTTCATTCTAAAACTACAACATGTAATACTAGTTGATACCAACAAAATAAATATCCTACGGGCTTACATCTTTTCTAGATATTTCTTGGTTACAACAAAAGAGTCTTAAGCTCTATACAAGTAAAGCTCTCGGCTTGAAAACAACACTTAACACACAAAAAAAATATAACAAAATAGAGCCTTCAGCCCCTAATCCTCCCTAGCTATGTCCTTGGAGGCGGCATGTCACTTGTACCTGAAAATGGTTTCCCAATTAGAGTGAGCTAAAGCCCAGTAGAGATATACTAACACAATATATGAGATTTAACTAAGATAAATGCATCAGATAAATGTTCAATATTCATAACCAACTCATATTCTTTCCAAGACCGTTCAACATTCATCCATTTCGGGTTAATCTATTAACCAAATTCATTATTATTTAATCAACCAAAATGAGATTACAACTCAATGGTTCACAATTCAATTCATTTATCACTCCGACACTTCTATTTTCTTGCCATTTTACGGAATTCACATCCGGGGGAATCGACACCCAAATACACATATAAAGTTTTGGGACTTGCACCCTTGACACTCTGGCCAACTTAATTTAAAATGGAGTCCATCCCCTATCTCCTCCCAAAACAATGGAATACATCCCCTATATCCTCCCAAACAATGATACATATACAATGTACTTAAAAGCGTTGCCATATACAATGACTATCCAAATCACATATTCAATGGTTTAATCAAGTAGTCATATTCAATGACATACTTCAAATGACCAGTTTCGGTTCACCTAGTCCTCATACAGTTTCTACAACATTCATAGCTATCCTCCACCGATAGCCCAAAATAGATATTTCTAAACAGATATACAATTTATCAAACAAATAATCTATCAAATTTCTATAGGTGGGTGATTTAAAAAATCCAACTACACCATCCATTTATACACCTTTCCAATCTCATATTTCCCACATTAATTTCATTATTTATACAAAATAATTATTTGACACAAATTAGGGCAATTTTTCCCTTTTCCCAAATATCAAACCCAAGGCCAATTTTTATCATTTTAACCCATGTAACCTCCTATTCAATACCCCAAATATGTATTCATGGAACCCAATATGGAAACCCCTCTTTTAAATTTAGGACCCAAACTCTAACTTTACCCAAATCTTCTCAAATTCCACCATTTACACAAAATGACAAACACCTAGGTTAAAAACCATATCAAAGAGTAGAATATCCTTACCTCAAATGTAGAGCTCGAAGAGGAACAAGGAGAATCTCGAAAATGGCCAAAATCAAGCTTTACTCAGATAAAACGGAAGCCCACAAGATGCTCCACCTTTTCCTCAAAGGAAGTAGAGTAGAAACTCTTGGATTCTAAGGGACTTATAGAGAGAATTTGGATTTTTAGAGAGTGAGGGAGCCAGATTACGGTTTTTAGTAAAAAGGAAACCAGAAAGTGAAGTAAAATGACCCAGCTGCGAACTGATATATGCTATCTTCGCTCGAGCGACCAGACACAACAAGTGACCTCGCTCAAGTGCAAAAAGTGTCGCTGGAGCATAGAATACATACCTTCAGGCATTTCACAGACGCACACCCTCGCTCGAGCGCAAGAAGCCTCGCTCGAGCGAAGAACTTCATCTTCCAGAAATGCTGCATTTAGGAAGGAAACCTGAGAACCCTCAAAACTTGCTCGAGCGTAACAAACCTCGCTTGAGCGAAGAAGCAAATTACGCAAGGTTCGCTCGAGCGCAAGAAGCCTCGCTCAAGCGAAGAAGTCAAAATCTGCACAGCAACAATCTGGACCAACGAGCAACCAACCTGTTCCAAACTCGCCCAACAAGTTCTAAAACTCAAATGCAAAGAGTCAAAGGAGGAAAACAAGACATGGATACAATATTCAACCACAAAACTCGAGTCCGAAACACAATGAAGGTTGAGGAAAAATTGGGATCGCTATAGGGAATACGAAGGTGGATGAGCTCATACAGACAGCCATGTCTACGATCGATCCCAAGAGTCTGTCCCGTCTTCGAATCCTACACAACACAACCAGTTGGAGAAAAGAGGACAGTGAGGCCAAGGCCACAGAGTTGACCAATTAAAATAAGATTAAGTGTAAGATTGGGGATCAAATAAGTGTGAAGTAGAGAAATAGTAGAGATAGAAATATGACTTATATGACTAATATGCATTTTAGAGCCATCAGCACTGTGAATAACAGGTAACGTAGAAAAAGATGTAATAGAGGAGAAAAGTGTAAGGTTAGGGGTCATCTGATTGCAACAAGCGGAATCAAAATACCAAGAAGAGGTACTTGGAGTAACTGAGAAGACAGTAGAGGGTGTACCAGAGGTAGAAATAACCTTTTTGACAATAGTTTCAATGTCCTGAAGAATATAAGGTGGTGACGGAGCAACAATGGATGAGGAACCAAAGGCAACTGTAGTAGATGAAAAATGTGCTGAAGACTGATTTCGGCTGTTGTAGACATCCCCGAACGCCCCGAGAGGAACGAGCTCCCGTTCCGTTCATTTTGGGGTCACTACAGCTCAGGACTCTCAAATTGTCACGGTTCTAAATCTGAACCAAAGAGTCCAAATCCGGCAAATCGTTTTGAGAAAACAGATTTTTTGAACGAAGTGCCAAACATGGACTGCTTTGCCAGATACAGAGTCGCCACCTAAATGTTTTTTTAATGGGAAATTTAGGAAACCCTGACTCGTTGCCTAAGGCCACATGTCCGTCATCACCAAAGTTGCCTCGGCTCGGGAACTTGGGTACGATTGGGGAAGGTCACTTCGTGAGCACCCCCGCTCGCCCGATCAAAGATCGGCCTCTACTAACCATGATATCTATTTTTGAAAACTTTGTGTGTCCTTATTCCGGTTATTAGCCTAGGTTACTATGTGATGCACACAGCATATAAGTATAGACTAGGTCGCCCGGATTAGAACAAAACATTTCATGCTTGTTTATTTGAAAGATGGTTTGCTACTCGTAAGTAGACTTAAAATGCAGATTTTGCCACTCGCAGATGGGCTTAGAAAAGATGGTTTTGCCACTATCTAGTGGGCTTAAAACAAACAGTTGATGATTTATTCCAATTTAAGTAACCCAACTTTCACCCACAGGCATTCAGGCAGTTATATCACATAAGCATATAGCCTCATGGTAAGCATGCTATCATGGCATTCACTCACACGCAGCGGAAGCGTAACATGGGCGGCTTGATAAAGAGGTGGACCTCAATAGAACTCTAGTGTTGGTCCCCGGTGGCTCACCTACATAAATATACATAAAAACGGAGTGAGCAAGGCTCAGTGAATAATAACAATCTAAGGAGGTTAGGTGAATGAGCATGATCTTGGAGAATATAAATCTACATATAATAAATTATATACAGGTCTTATCCATAGCCATATGTCAAAATGGCCTCAGGCCCACATGTAATTCAAAACGGCCTCGGGCCCATATATGATACGAAAGGGCCTTGGGCCCAACATTACAACAGATGTCCAGAGCAATATAGGGAAGATCGAACATTAGCATGTCTCCATCTCCTTTGCCATAGAGCCATTAGTAATATACAGTTCATATCATTATAGGGTCGACGGAACAGCGGCATGTCTCCATCTCCCTCGGCCTTAGGGCCATGAGTCAAAAACAATTCACATCATAACGGCCTCGGGCCAACTTTTATTACTAGGAAAAAAATGACCTTAGGTCCATATCAATGCCATTGGTTAATTATGTCCATTAATTCAATCAAAGCACAATGTCAATGGTATATGCCATTCACAAACAACAATATATAAATCATAATCACAGGAAGTAAGTAAAACATATCGTTACACTACTATTACTCACAGTGATGGGCTTTCGGTAGCAATGGGAAGATGTCCTCATCTTCACCTTAGTTCAATCTTTGCATTTTCCTTAAATCTCTTCAATTTTTCCCAAGCTTCCGTGCTTGATCTTCTTCCTTTCTCCTTAATCTTTTCAATTATCTTCAAATCCCCATGAATATTGAGCTCTCTCTCTCTCTCTCTCTCTTTGAGAAGCTTTGTCTCTCCTTCTCTCTCTCACGGTTCTCTCCCTCTCCCTTAGATATTCTTGGACTCTAATTAATGAATTTAACAACTCCTATATCAACAACTCGTATAGTGTATATATATATAAGCTTATCACAAGTAGGGAGAGCCAAACGTGCCCTTACGAATCGTATGAAATTAAATTCCAATTAAACTTCCCAAATGACTCCAAAAATTATACTGATCATAACTATGTACTCCGTTCTCGTTTCTAAAGCCTCTAAGGCCTACAAGTTGCAGCGCAAAGTTAACCACCCAAACACACCTTAGCAAATCAAACAAAATAAAATTCCAATTAATTTTCCCAAATGGCTCTAAAAATTCCTATTAACATATCTATGTACTCAATTTTGATTCCTGAACCCATAAAGGTCGTCAATTGCAGTTTTAAAGTCGTAGCTCAATAGATAATTTTTCAATTCGAACAGATATAATTAAATTAAAGCACATTAACCCATAATTACATAAAGGAAACTTCTGATACGCATTTTGGGGTCATTACAGTGGTCAACCTGGGCATCTGAAGAAATTATGTCCGCAGAAAGTAAGGGCTTCGGAGGTGGCGGGATCTAGGCAGTCTAGAGGTTTGCAGATGGGTCAGGGACAGAGGCAATAATACTAGCCAGCTCAATCAGGACAAGCATCTAGGATAGTACATGGAGCCACATCTGCTCAATCCACACAACAAGCTTATGTTCTGAGGGGTGACATGGGGGAGCAGAGGTCGTAGGGCAGAGTATATGCATTCACCACTTCCGAGCCAACTATGGGGCCATCAATTGTAAGAGGTACATTTCTCGTTTTCAATACTTGGGCTAAAATGTTGATTGACACTGGAGTATCGCATTCATTTATTACCACATCATTTGCATCATTGTTGGGGTTAAAGAGTAGACAACTGCAGGCTTTGCTTAGAGTAGAATCACCAGTAAAGGGAAAGGTCATACTAACCCAGGAATGTCAGGGGTGTATAATTGAGGTAGCAGGTTGACAGCTTTTGTTTAATTTTGTATTGTTGGAAATGTCGGGTTTTGATGTTATTCTCAGGATGGATTGGTAGTTCATGTATCGGGCGACAATAGCTTGCCATTGGGAGAGGGTTACGGTGTGTACTACAAGCAGTGATTGCTTCACATTTTTGGGGGATAGGTGCAATAGACCCTTACCCTCCACATACCACCCATGTGGCCAAAGTCAACTTAATTTCCTTTTAATAGCCCTTTGGGAGGATGGAAGTGAGGTAGTTCGGAAAGAATTCCCAAGGGTAGTACGTGAATACCTCGATGTTTTTCCTAAAGATCTTACGGAGTTGCCACCTCGTAGGGAGGTAGAGGTCACCGTAGACTTACTTCTAGGCACAGCACCTATTTCATTGTCACCGTATAGGTTTGCTCTAGCCAAATTTGTGGTTCAAAAGGAACAGTTGTGGGAGTCACTTAGTAAGGGCTTTATACACCCTAGCACGTCACCATGGGGAGCCTCGGCCTTGTTCGCCAAGAAGAACAATGGGTCTTTGAGGTTGTGCATAGATTATCGTAAATTAAATCAAGCTACGGTTAAAAATAAATACCCCTTGCATAGAATAGATGATCTCTTTGACCAACTTAAGGGCTCTTGTTGTTTCTCCAAGGTGGATTTAAGGTCAGGACATCATCAAATTTGAGTTAGAGAAGAGGACATCCCCAAAACTGCCTTTCATACTCGATATGGTCATTACGAGTTCTTGGTCATGCCTTTTTGGGTTAACCAATGCTCTAGCTACGTTCATGGACCTAATCAATTGGATCTTCCGGGAGTTCCTTGATAAATTTGTTGTTGTCTTTGTAGATGATATTCTTATCTATTCACCTTCCGAAGAAGAGCATGAAAGGCATCTTTGTGCGATTTCGCAACTTCTTAGGGAGCATTGGTTATATGAAAATTGTGCGAAGTGTGAATTTTGGCTTACAGAAGTGAAGTTCTTGGGTCACGTGGTTTCGGGAGACGGAGTTATGGTGGATTCTTCAAAAATAGAAGCAGTGTTAAATTGGAAGCAGCCAAAGAATGCTTCGAAAATTCGTAGCTATTTGGGTTTGGCCAATTACTGCCACCGATTTGTAAAGAATTTCTCTTCCTTAGCATCACCCTTAACTACGTTGACCCGCAAGGGAATGAAGTTTGTTTGGAGCGAAGCATATGAGAATTCTTTTCAAGAATTAACGTTTAGACTGACCACCGCTCCAATTCTTATCATTCCAGAGTGGGGGTTAGGTTATACGGTGTATTGTGATGTCTCCAGAGAGGGATTGGGATGTTATTTAATGCAAGAGGGAAGGGTGATAGCATATGGCTTGCGCCAACTGAAAAGCCATGAAGGAAACTACCCGACTCACGACCTATAACTTGTTGCAGTTGTTTTCGCTTTAAAGTTGTGGAGACACTACCTCTACAGTGAGAAATTTGAAGTCTTCTCTAACCACAAAAGCCTCAAGTACTTATTCTCCCAGAAAGACTTAAACCTATGTCAACGAAGATGGATGAAGTTCCTAGAAGACTATGATTTTGAGATACACTATCACCCCGAGAAAGTTAATGTGGTAGCGGATGCCTTGAGTAGAAAGCCGATAAGTACAATGGCCAATTTAGCGATGAATGAATGGAAGATGATAGGGGATGCCAATGAATTCACCTTGCAGCTCGGTGGTACTCTGGGGTAAGCCACCCTCTTTACCACCATAGTATAACCAACCCTTGTTGCGAGGGTAATTGACGCACAACTGGGTGATCCAGAAGTAGAGGCCATTGCAGGGAGGATTCATCTCGGAAAAGAAGAGAGGGGTTTGAATATCCACGCAGACTCTACTGTTTGCTACCTCGACTGGTTGTTTGTACCTAAGTCCATGAGAAGTGAAGTTTTGAGGGATTTCCATCATTCTCGTCTCACTGTGCACCCGAGGGGCACAAAAATGTATCATGACCTAAGTCGCCAATTTTAGTGGAGGGGTATGAAAAAGGATGTGGCCTGATTCGTGTCCAAATGTCTAACATGTCAACAAGTCAAGGCTGAACAGCAGAGACCGGCTGGGTTATTACAGCCTCTTCCAGTTGCTGAGTGGAAGTAGGAACACGTTTGGAACAAAACATTTGTTTCGAAAATGGATTGAAGTTTGCTACTCGCAAGTAGGCTAAAACACGGGTTTCGACGAATTATTCCAACTCAAGCAACCTAACCTTCACTCACAGGCATTCAGGCAGAAATGTAGCCCACGGCCACTGAGAGATGGTCTACGGGACCTCTCCCTCCCCTCGGGAAAAGAAACAGAGAAAACCGAGTCTGGTTCGCAAACCGAGGCAAGGCACAGAAGAGGGTTCGGAAGTCCGGAGGCAGGGCTCACGGCCGCGACTCTGAAACTTCTGAACGAGCACATTATGCAACATCACTAAGTGCTCAATCGGTGACGTCTGAGTCTTAAGGTCGGTCAAAAATGGGGTGTCTACAGCTGTATATTATGGAGGGTCTAGAATAGCGACCATACTGAGGATAACTATCTGAACGAGCCATGAGGTGATTAAATAATGAATCACAAAGGAGAACCAGTGATGGCGGAGTAGAACTAGATGAAACAGAGTACGCCAGTGAATCTGGAACGTCGAAAATAGTCAGAAACTAGGCCAAAATGATCAAAAAAGGTACAAAAAATAGGCGAAACAAGCCAAAAATTGAATTTTGGCCAAACAGGGTACAGGGCTAACGTCAGCAAGAGGGAAGCTGATGTCAGTACAGGCGCGGCTCACGTTAGCATGGCTAAGGCGCGGCGCAGTGTAGCAGAGAAGGCATGACGCACATTAACAGCTAACAGAAGTAGCTTAAGGCTGATGTCAGCATGTGGGAAGCGCGCATGGCTGGGCTAGAATAGGCGTGAGGCTGAGAAGAAGTGGCTGACGTGGCTGACCAGCTGGCGGCTGAGCGGCTGAGTAGATGATGTGGCTAACGCGTGGAAGAGCTTGTGTAAGTAAAGGCAGAATAAGATGACACGCCAAGCACAAAAATAGTGCATGAAGGCACGCGAGAAACTTTTTGGTGATGAGATCGGTGCCAGTGGAATCCTTAGAAGATTCTGATCAATTTGATATTGAGGAAAAAAAATTGGAGAAAAAAAAATGCCAAAATAGTTCGATCAGTGTTTGGGTGATTAAATAAAATGCTTTGCTCCCAGATCTTCCACCACCACCACCACCACAACAACAACAACAAATGGCAAACTGTTATTAACTACTGGTTGTGTGTGTGTGTAAATAAATGTATAAATAAAATAAACAACGGAAATTAAATAATTCAAAAATTAATCCAACAAGTTAAATTTTGAATTAAATACTTACATAAACTTTAAACGTCGAGTCTTGTATTGGACACAATGTCCTTAACATAGATTTCGTCATTGCTCCGATGCTTCGAGATTTACCGGCATCTACTTCCCAAGATGCAACAACTACTACTACTTGGTTTGCAACACTACAAACTCAAGTCTGGCAAACCAAAACTCTGCTGTGGCTCACTCTTTTTCTTTCTAAAATTAAATGATAAATAGATGCAGAAAACAAGAAGATAGATGTGAGAACCCGAATATAAAAATTAAGTAAATAATTAAATAATAATATTACAATCTCAAATATTTTGGTGGTGAATTCTAAGGTGCAAATTAAATATTATTGGAGGATCTTTTAATTAATTTTAAACCTAAAATAAATTTATGGTGAAAGTCTTTAATTTAGAGACAAGGTTTATTATAAAAATAAAAATAAAAAGAGAGAGAGAGGAGGGGGTGACTTGAACTCTAGACCACAAGGTTAATATATAAGACTCCTACCATTTGAGTTGCATGTAACTTATATATGTATTTTGTATATTTATCTATCTATCTATTTGACCTAAGTGTGCCCACCACTAGTATAAAATAAAATAAACACAAACCCTACTCTATTATTTTCTCACCACATAGGGCAACAACAGCAGCCACGGGAGAGGGTTAGAGAGAAGGAAAAAAAGAAGAAGATGTTGCAATCAAAGAACTTTTGGGTGTGTTGTGTTGTGTGTGATCATCAAAGGTTAGCCCTCCTTGGTTTTCTTCTCTTCTTTTTGTTCTTCATCCTTATTCTATAATTATTTTATTCATTGATGGAGAGGTTGTAGGTTTATGTATTGTGTATATAGATATCCTATTAAGAAACCTGAGGAGCTAAATTTATGTGTAAAGATTGGGTGTAATTTTCAGTCCAAAAATTCTATACAAAGTCACAAATTTTAAAAAAATCAAGAAACCATATCAAACGGATGAATTTTAATCTGAAATTTTTACAGTAGATCAATTACATATTGAATTGCATATCTGAATTTTTTCATAATTTTTGGGAGTCAAAATCCATATAAATTGAGGTATTCAAATCTGTCCAGGAAACCAGTCCGAAACAGTAAATTCGGGAGTGTTGTTCTCTTTGGGTATAAATCCAAAAATTATCAAATTAGTGTCATTAGAACCGGTTACGAGTCTAGTTTCGTACATTTTTGGCCTTGCATTGATTGCTCGTGTACATTAAGAGAACCATCAATTTCTTTGAAGTACTGCAGAAAACAACCTGTTTGGATATAATAAATTGTAGATAATTATTTTGATAAGCAAATCAAGTGAAACCAATTGGGTTTCAAACTTAGGATACATTAGATCATATCTGGAGATTATTGGAATTTTTTGAATAGCGTGGAGTGGGTTTTGTAATTTTCAAAGTTAGCGAATAGGTTGGGAAGGCTTGTTTGAAATTCTGTTTTATCTTAAAGTCACAATTAATTAAGTTTTGACCGGAACCCATGTCTTGGGTGATTTTAAAAGAGGGCTGGAAGATGGGCTGCTTTGTGTAGGAGGTGGTTGGAGCCTAGTGTTGTGAAGGCCTCAAATAAACTGCTGCTGCAATTTAGCTACATGTAATGTGTTGAATGGATGCTATGATACTTGGGTGCTGCTCTTAAATGGATGCTTTGTGATGAATGGGTGGGAATTGGTTTGGAGCTTTTTGTCAACTGCTGCTGCATGTTTTTTTTTTCCTTCTAGTTTGTGATGTTCTTCAGACAGAGCATCTCTGTTTTTGCAGTAGTGATGGAGGCACCGTTTGTAGGTCTGCAGTGTTGTTGTGATGCCGTTTTCAATACCTCATGAGGCTTTGTGATGGAAGGGTGTGATTTGATCTGCTCCTGCATGTCTATTGTAGAAACTAGGAGGTTGGAGCATGTCTATCTGCTGCTGTTTTTGGAATTTAATTATGTAGAGAGGAAATTGTTCTGCTGTTGCATGTCTTTCTGCTGCTGCTGTCAATTAGGTGTTTTTTTGTGCTGTTAGTTTCTCACCAACTAGGAGGTTGCTGCTTTTTCTAGCTCCAAACTCATCTTTATTGATGTTTGCCTATCATATGTAATTTATATGCAGTTCATCAATAAAGTTTTCTTTTGTCGATCAAAAAAAATATATATATATATATGAATCAAACCCAGATATTAGTGGGGAAAAACTATGCCATTTCATTTTTACTTTGAGAGGTAAATGGTGTAACGTTAATATCATAATTTCAAATAGTTAAGGCATGATGAATGAGTTGGAACCATACAAGAATCAGTTGTTCATAGAATTATCAGGGTTTTGTTTGTTCAGTTCAAGTCTTATATATAATATATATATTTATTATGGAAGAGGTAGTTAATGAATGTGATTAGGGGGAGGTGAGAGAAGTTCGGTTTTGTTTGTTCCATGTTGCTACTCACTGAGCTATCAGCTGACTTAGTTGTTTACCATTTCCAGGTGTTAGAAGGACTTAGAGTGGACTCATGGCGTAGCGGGGACTCAATTGCATGGACCTCTAGGGCATTCCTTTAGTTTAGAGTGTTATGTCAAGTTTGTGCATATTTATATTTATTCTTATCGAAGTTCATTTAGGATTATTTTTGATATGTGGGTTGTTTATATCCCATAAGTTTGGTTGGTTTTTGATTATGGTTGATTTTGCCGTTTATAATTGTGGCATGTCTGGATTGAGTTTTGGTTATTTATTATTGGACTATTGTTCAGTTGTTCAATGTGATTGGATTCGTGTTTAGGCTTACGTGTGCCTTGGGCTAAGTCCCTGTGGGCCACGGCCGGTCATGCCCGGATTTGGGGTGTGACAATAGAAAGGGAAAAAGAAAGACGAAATGCTTAGAAAAATTGAATTGATTGAATTACTAGAATGGCAGGCTATATATAGGAAAACTGGTGGCTTTTCAGAACATGTGTCAACAGATAGAAAACCTATTCGGACAGATTCAACAGGTAGAAAACCTGTTTGGACAAATTTGAACAGAAACAGATTTGTTCGGGTG